GAAAGACGAGCAGCGTTAATTAAAAACTGGTTCTGTGCTCCTTCTTGAAGCATTTTCTTGGCCTATATATTTGGAAATGTTTAACAGAATAATGGAAATTCGAGGTCAGGCAGTTGCGCTCTCTTGAGATAAAGATGCAGTGGTCCTGACTGTACCTTACTGGTTGTCTGTCCAGTAAATTTCACTCTCTTGGGAGCCTGTGTGGCAGAGGACCTATTTTGTATGGTCTTCTCAGTATCCCATAAATTTTTTCTGCAATTCATCTTGTTTCTTAGAGGTAGACTTTTTTTATATCTCTAGTTTCTTACCTGCCATGATGTTTAAAAACTTCAGATACTTTATGCCATGGTATTATCATGCTTGCCTTCTGCTCTGTAGCTGCTGGTTAGTTAAGCTATACCCTCTCTCCAAAAAACACCTTGTAAGTCAGTCCCACTGTGATTCCTATCTTCTTTTTCTTCCCCTCCAGGCTTCTTTTTATCTTTTATTTTTCTTTTCCCTGTAATTAATTGTGTGGAACTAAACGTGGTATTCAGGTGGAGTACCTTTCTATTGTGTTATATGATGCTTGTCCGGGTGACACACATCCAAGTTTATATATGTGTATATATGTGAATTGGCAGGCCAGGCCTCTCTGTTCTTAGTTACTGGTCTAGCACTGCCTTTCCAAGGTTTTTCTTCTATCGAGTGCCTACATTTTGCTTTCCCTGGCCAATATTCATGTTTACTCTGATTTTCTAATTATTTTTCTTGAACCTCTTGAAATTATTGTTGCTTCTATTATATAATCTTCCTCATTTAGGGTGAAAGAGGACTTCGATATTTTTATCTATGCAAGTATCACTAATAAGCTGTGTCTTTCAAATAAGAATGAAAACAGATTCATACAGGGTTCCCCTAGATGCTTATCTGCTAATTACATATTTCACTTTTAATGCTTGCTTTCTGTTTACAGTACTTTGACATCTGCAGATTGAAAAATTATCCTAAGAATAAACTTTCATGATGCGTTGTGAAGTAATTCGCTAGGATAAATACTAATATTATTAACCCTCATCCTAGTATTCGCAAACTGTATTTTACAGCGTTATCATTTACTTTCATATCTTTTCAGAAATGAGTGATTTTCCTTTTCTTAGGTTCTTCTAGCAGCTGCTTGGAAGAGCTGACAAGAAAGGGTTTCCTGTTCTGCAAAAGTTTCAAACTTTGGGTTTTTTTCATTCTGCATTTTTCTGGACTGTGTTTCTGAGGCATTTCAGAGTTGTCATTATGTATTGGACAAGCCCATCCCAAAATAGCCAAGAGTTTGATCAAATGCGTATGCAGGGCACTGAAATTCGTATCTTTGCTTGAGGCAAGCAAAGGCTTTGAACTGCCTCCCATATTGGTGTCGTGCCTTAACCATACGTCTTCTGACTGGTTGGGGGTGATTCTCTGTTGCGGATGTCATTTCCCTTTTAATTAGCCATCTGCCACCCCCGGGAGAGAGCGATGGGGACTCTGACCCCGCGGCTGGGGCGCCCGCAGAGCCAAGTGCTGCTGATGCGCGTCCTTGTCCCAGCAAGCGACAAAGCTGTTGAGCTCTGTGGCTTCTGGGCTGGGTGAGCTTGGAAGGCTTTTGTGTGTGTGTGCGCGTATGGCTTTTGTTTTGACTAGAGATTTTGTCTTTGCAAGCAATGCATATGTTGCTGTGGAAAGTTTTGCTTCTGACAAACATTTTTTTCTGGCAAAAATGCTGATTTGCAGACTTTGGCATTTCTCCGCATTTCACAAATGTTCTAAATTGCAACAAACTGTTGTGCTGTATGTAACTGCGTGTATAGACGCCCCGTATCCTGCTAAGGAATTTTCTGGCTCTTGTGCTTTTCAATTACTAAAGTTTTCATTTCTTCTGATAAGAGCATCTCAAGAGTAATAGACTGGTTTGGAGTAGTGGGACCTGACAGGGTTATGTTAAAATTATTTTTCTTGGGTAAACTTCCCTTTGAAAAGGCTTGTTTGGAAATTACGGAGAATGGGTGGATGCAATGTGCCTGTCTTTCCACAAATTTGTTAATAATATTCCTTGTAAGACAGTGCCAAAAGAAAAAA